TGGTAAGAGATTAAAACATAATTTCTCTCAAGGTAGTGATGTTTGGCAGAAAGGAAAAAAAAAAAGAATGACTATGAATGCTTTGGTTTACAGAACATCTTTGAGAAAGATGTCCCAAAAGCACATACATAAATAATTTTCTGTATTTCACTAAAATCGGGACCACTTCTTTTCTGAAACACTGGAATTTAAGGAGGCACACTTGAGGCTTGCCTGTAACTCTGAGACTACATTCTAAGGTCTAGGAACCTGGGGCAAAAAGTCCATTTTCCTTCTTCCTATGTGGTATTTTTTGAAACTAACTAAAACACTTAACACTTAAAAATCAACAGTCAACACTAATGTAACTGTTTAATCTTTTCTTTAAAAGGCACCAACAAACTTCAAATATGATTCTAATGCAGTAGGGGACAAGGTAGTCGTCTAAGGAAAAAAACATATGCCCAGAAGAAACAAATGGTGATCTATTAGACGAGCATAATCTAAAATTCTGCCAAAACTCTAACATAGCGTTTCAGCTTTAGACCTCTCCTTCACAGCGCTGGCCTTCCACAATTCTGAGTTTCAGATAAAGAGTGGATAGAAGCAAGCCACTGGAAATAATGTACACTTTGTAAACAGCCATGGAACATTTTACTTAGAGTAGTCTCTATAGCGGGGTTAAGCTTACACAATAAATTATTTTAAACACTGTATATAAATATATGCACTTTTGCTCCATGGAATTCTGATTATGAGCGGGATTGTTACCTGCTTACAAAGCACTGTATTATATCTCCTTATTCACTTCTACCCAATGTCACGCCGCTGTTTTCATTTTGAAGGGTTTTGCTTCCCTCTCTCTTTTTTTCCCCTCTGTATTCCTCTTTTTAAAAACAACTACAGTCTATCATTCTACCTCTTCTGTCTGGCTGTATTTTTCCACTGCACTGACAACTACCAGTGAATAGAAGAAAGATGAGTTGTAGGCTCCCATATTTTTGAACCAGGTAGCAAATCACGGAAGAATCTAGCGCATAATTCTGCAAGGCTAACCATTGGGAGCAGTAAAGACCATTATTTTCTCCCTACTGTTGGCAGGGGTCAGCATCCCTGTCATTAGCTGTGTCAAACGGTAATTATATAACTGCACTTTATGTGAGCAGATATCTGAAAACACTCTAAAGTTGCAAGTATGAAAATATTCCAGCCCTTCTTACAGTACTGATCCAAGTGGTCTTTGGAGGTGACACTTCAATGCAGAAAGCCACAAGGATGTTACTTATTGCTCTCTACGTAAACATTTAAACTTCTCATACGACTTCTTCAGGCAGCTTGAAATCCCTGACCATATTCTTCTACCAAATTAAGACACTCGGATTATCAAAGTTATTTCTTTTGTAGCATTCAACTCAATTAAGGAATGTGATGTTTCTTAAAATAAACTTCGACTGAACAGACTACTCATATTAGCTTGTAAATGTCTGAAATGCAATTATGTTTCAAGTTTCAAGAGGTGAACGGCACAACCCCAACTCTAAATCTGTCCAGCGTAAGAGCTCCACTATGTTATTTCAAAGGCTGACCTATATACCGCAGCATACCGTCCATTCTGTCTGTTTATATAAGAGATACCTCACACAGTTGTCATAACCAACATTGTTTGCATTGTTCTTTCACTTTTCTCTCTCCATGGGTAATGCGAGAGAAACAAGGAAAAGCCTGCATAACAATATATGCAGAGTATAATGAGCTTTCACAGCAGATAGAGAAATATTAGGCTAAGATGCTTAGAATGCTATTTTAGGTTTATAAAATAAAGATCTAAGCAGTCTTCTGAAACAAAGCCTGCCAAGTGAAAATGGTAAGATAAGAGGCGACTGTTTGAATCTACATTATTGCATTTTCCTTTGGCTACAGAAAAATGCACTGTCAGTACCTCCCGTGCGTGTGCCTGGGAACTCACTCATATGCTATGAACAATCATCTGATCAGGAAAAAAAAATAGTGCTAAAAGAACAATTTGAAAACTTACAAGCGTAAGTATTTGTGGAATACATTCTAAATTACCAGCAGCTCAAGCAGACTTAAAATGTAAAGAATCAAGGTCTTCCACTTTTGTGAAAAAAAAAAACCAAAAAACCAAAACCCAACAAAACCCCGGTATGAAAACAAGGGCCAAATCCACTAGCAAGTGCCCAAAGCAAGTTTTAACTAACTTTGCAAGAAACAAGATCCAGTTCTGAATGAGTTTTGCAGGTAAAGACCTAATCAAGACCACCATTCTAACCCAGAACACGGATCCATCACACTCCAGCCATCATCTCCTTTCCTGGGAGAGTTCAAGAGCAAACACTCAACCAAACTTACTGAACACAAAATTCTGCAGGTCTCCCGCCCTTCAAACTCCCTAAATACACACAGCACGAAAATGAGTGACACAGCGATACTGTAACATGACGACATGTTTAGAACAAGTCAGATAAGTTTTCACAGCAATGTTAATCATGCTGGGCGAAGGGAGAGAGTGAAGGGGGTGAAAAATGGAATGTTCAGTAAATGTATGCCTCCAAGGGGCCTGGCAAACCTACTCTGTCCATTTAATGTAATCAATGGTCAGTGGGAAAGACATCTGAAAAAGACATTTGTCCTATACTCGGTATCTTATACTGAAACATTCCTGGTAAGTCTTTTCCAAGCATAAAACATATGTCTTATGACTGTGCACTTTTAAGCACATTATCAGTTCAGGCAAAGTGAAATAGAAGAGTTGCAACTTGTCTACAGAATGAGCGTCTCATTTGCATTTAAAAAGAACAGTTTGCTCCCTCATACATGGCATGACTTAAAAGAAGCTTTAACCAGCTAGTAAAGAAATTCTGAAAACGACTTCTAAATTACTTTATTTGATTTGCAGTGCAACCCACCAAAATGATTTAAGGAACTTAATTGGAAAATGATTTAATATATTAAAGTAATTCCTGATTTTCCAAAGCATTTAACTTTTAAATTAAATCTGGTCCACTATCTCAAGAATGATGAGTGAAATGTGTATTCAAGTCATTACCTTCTTTTTGAAGCTTTAAATCACTGATAGGTTTAATAACGTTTGTCCGGTTTCATTGCCAAATGGGTCTTCAGACACTTTGGTACTTATGTCATTAATATTAGCCAAGCCTCTCACTTGGCAACACTTTATGGTGACAATTTACAAAAACAGACAACACAGAAAATAACGGCAAGCCACAGATCAAAGGCAGCAGTAGCCTCATGATTACTCAGAGCACTTACAAAAAAATTAATGCACACATACAGGTTCCTACGCATCTGGACTCTTCCTGCTGAACAAAGTTCACTCCTGGCACAAACTTCCGATCTATAGGGCAAGTTTGCCAGATGCTGCAAAATACAGTTACTCAAAACACTGCTAACAGCCATACCTCTGGGATCTCTCTTGAAATATCCTTAGGCATCCACCACAAAGGGCCAGATTTATCCCTGAATTCTATAACTCCATTGAGTATATGTGAAATGCAGCCAGGATGAATTTGGTCCTTTCTGTTGTGATTGGTAGATGAGACCATGTGGGAAATCTTTCCTGAAAACTGAGAGGGCTTCACCCCGGCGCTGCAGCCTCCGCGCTTGAGCACGGACACACGCTATTTTGCTGTTTATCTCTGAATCGAGGCAGCTGCCCGGAATGAAAGACACGGCTCTGAACATCTCTCTGACACGTGGGACCGTCGTGACAATAGCCGAGCGCGGAACCAGG